TAGAAACAAACAACTTCACCCTCATACATTTTTAGAGAGCAATGATTCCTGACAAACTCTACAACATGGTGCGCAGCTGAAAACACACACAACGGAAAACGCCACAAAATCAAGCATGTAGGGAGCAACATTATCTGTATGCTGCTGCATCTGGAGGCTGGTTCTAGCTCACAAAGCTGGGAAATTGTTGGTGAGATTAAGAAGAAGAGGAAGGAAAAAAAGAAAAAAAAAAGACGACACTGAACGTAAAGTTGGCTGAGAGTGTATTCGTGTTCTCTTGCTGCTTGTGTGCGACACCCGGGATAACAATACAACAGTGTGCGATTGTGGCTGGCTATTATAAAAGAGGACTCGCTCGCTGAGTTACACAAAAAGGTGTGACATCATCAGGGACACACAAGAGTTTCTCCTAACGAGAGACTAAAATAGGCGATGACGCTTCCTTCCCTCCCTCCCTCCGGTAAAACACCCATCTCCTTCTTGTTTACGTGGCTCTGTCCATACATGTTGTCTTCACATTCATTTCCACCATATGAAATGCCTCCTCCCCCCGCTCGTATTCACCTGTTTCCCCACATTGCAGCGTCTCACAATACACTCTCTCCGTCTCACTATCCCTCGCGCTTCTTCCTCTCTGTATGTAAATCACTGCGATCCAACTGTAACCCCGGGAGATGAAAATAGAAAATCTGAATCCTGGGAGCGAAAGCATGCAGAAACATGTATCTCATTATCACATCTTTGCAGAGGCAGGGGGGGAAAAAAATGAAATAACCAGGCATGCTAATATGATACTCACTGTAAACATGAGCTGGCATCCTCCCAGTATGTAATCCAGAAATGTGTAGTCTCTCGTAATCTAGAGACGCAAGAGGACAATGGAAGGAAACAAGAGAAAATAAATGGAGTCACAAGAGAGCAGAGAGAATTGCACCTTGCAAAAAATAAATGGTTCTCATAAGCAGAGGCCTTAAAATTTGTATTAAAATTTCCGATATAATGCGCCACCAATGGAGCACCACTTATTATCTTGTTTGAACACAATTTCCACTCCAATTACAATGAATATTTAGCATGGATTTTACTGTCATTAGTCTAATCCCTGCCGGCAGCCAACAAATATAATTACTATATTAGTAATTTTGTTCATTTGCTGTGCGTGTGCAAAGCTTGTTCGTGACAGTGTGTACGGCGAAAGAAAAAGAGAAAAAAAGGAAAAGGAAAAGAATCAATTATGAAAGCTTGTCATCATGCACACACAGCTTTAATGTCATTCCAATCGGCATCTAAAGACTCCGTGTTTCCGCTTAATGTGTCCTCCGTGGGGCTCCGAGCTGCCGCACTAATTAGTTATTCAGGAGGAGTTATGAGGCCCAGTTTGAAGCGTGTCAGCTGATCGGAGCCACAATTCAGTGAGTCGAGTGTCAAGACGGGTCATTAAGACGTGATGAGAAGCTGAATGATTCCTCTGAACTGGTAGGTGAGGTACTTTTGTTCATCCAGCTTAGAATTTCAATGGATATAACTGACTGTAGGGGTATTTTCAATAGAATAGTACTTAAGCAGCTTTAACCAGCTTTTACGTGACGCTTCTGATATTAATCTTGCACTAAATCAAAATGTCACTTGCAGTTCTAAAAGAATGCATGAAAAAATGTGCAGGTATTCGTCTTTTTTAGCTCATTGTTTTGAGTTAACAGCAGGAAAATTCTGCTTTCTGGCAGAATATAAATATAAAACCAAGAAGTCAAGCAGCCATGTCCATGGTGCAAAATGGCAGACAGTTGAAGTAACTCAATGATCTGGTAAAGAAGTTAGCAGATAAACATCTGGAGGATTTTTCTAATGAGTTTAAGAACCAGTCGAAACAAAGACTTGATGAAAACGTTGCCTTGTCATACAGATAATGCACAGGGTTCCTGCACCTTCAGCAAATTACATTTAATCCTCTTGAGACCTCTATAATAACAAATACAATTCAGTATAATAGCTTTTTTTTTTTACAGTCAAACTAGTTGGCAATGAATGGAAATCCATTACAAATAATGAGGTGCACAAATGTTTATCACGCACATACATTTGTCGCCCTATAGCTGCATACACACTGTAGAAATGTATGTTTTTTATCTCTAATTTTGTTTAAACAATGTCCAGTTTTTACAAAAAGTTCCTGTTTTGTTAAATTAAAGGAAACATCCAGTAAAATCCCCAAAAGAAAGTATTAATTTACATATTGACTGTCAAAAATTAGCATTTTTACAAACATTGATTTGGTTTTATATAACATTGGACTGCATAAATCACATGATTTGATGTAAATATGGTTATTTTAGAGATATTTGTCATCATTACCACTGTTTGTTTGGTTTTTGAACATTAGAGCGTTCTACCATTTTTTTTATTTTTTTGTTTTTACAGATTTTCTCTGGCGCTTTTTCTGCCAGATTTTCACAGTTTTTTTTTTATGGGATTTATTTTTAAAGTGTAAAAATTCCTCCTGATATATTTAACCTCATAAAATCCCCTGTCCTTCCCTTTTATTGGTAGCCTACGCACACTGTGTAAACAAATATGAACGTATTTGGTGTCGCAGATTTCAGGAAGACCTTCCCTGCAAGCAAAAGCACTGATTTGATTTTATTTTTCTTCTGTATTTTGAACACAGACTCTCCAGAGTTGTAGTGACTGCTGAAGTCAGGTTTCACGGCAGATTTAAATTCTATTGTCCTCAAAGGCCCACTGTTCTGTTTTTCGGTTCACCTCGTGGTTATCTGATATATTCACAAGGAGCTTCTTTTGGGGATTTTCTGTCTGATTCATGAATATAAGGACGGTTAATTTGGGTTTACTTTAATTTAGGTGTTTCTGTACTAAGATGGGTGACATAAGAGGTTAATCACATAAAATGACATAAACTGGACAGATAACCTGCAACCACGAACATAAAACGTTTACAACAGCTAATGTTACAGCAAGAATCATCATGTTATTTCAAATACTTTTTTTAACACCTTGATCTTTGTATAATTGATGCTTTCTAAGACTTTTTAAAACCTGCAGACTCTCTGTTAGCAGAACCAACTTACTCAGATAACACATCAAGGCAGTTCTCCTGTGAGTTTGTTTTGGAACCTTTCAGCTCTCTTGTGATCACAAAACACTTCCTGCAGCTTTAAGCTTGAGAGGTGAAGTTTTACAAATGACTGGCCAATGGAAAAGCATTCCTAGGTAATGTGTTTAATGTTGGAGCTGTAGGTTGTTGACCAATTTTGTTGTGTCTTCTCATTCGTCTTTGATTTATGCAGAAGCCAGCTGTTTATCTACTGAAAGTTTAAGAGATTTATAAAAATCTACTACAGCTTTAAGGTTTTTACTAATTTTTAATGGCCTCCACTCTTAAATATTTAACATATCAGTCACTTCTCTCGACTTATGCAAAATAAATTACGAATGAATTACTATCATACTTCAACAGTGGATTCTACAGCATCTACATACGGCATACAAAGCTGCAAGTATCTCATTATTTGCTACTGAGCTTATATTCCTAAGCTATTAAGGCAATACAAATGCTCCATGGGGAGATATGGAAGGGATATAAAACCCAGTTTAAAATGAGATTTGGAAAACAGGAGTCACAATGTCTGTCAAGAAGAGTTGAACTGGTGGTTGAAATATGGCTGCAGTTAAAGATTTAGACTGTAAAGCAACACAGATGATGCCAAAAATGACCAAAGAT